GAGACAAGCGTAAGAGGTGTGTGAGACAAGCGTAAGAGGTGTGTGAGACAAGCGTAAGAGGTGTGTGAGACAAGCGTAAGAGGTGTGTGAGACAAGCGTAAGAGGTGTGTGAGACAAGCGTAAGAGGTGTGTGAGACAAGCGTAAGAGGTGTGTGAGACAAGCGTAAGAGGTGTGTGAGACAAGCGTAAGAGGTGTGTGAGACAAGCGTAAGAGGTGTGTGAGACACGCGTAAGAGGTGTGTGAGACAAGCGTAAGAGGTGTGTGAGACAAGCGTAAGAGGTGTGTGAGACAAGCGTAAGAGGTGTGTGAGACAAGCGTAAGACATGTGTGAGACAAGCGTTCGAGCTGTGTGAGACGAGCATAAGTGGTCTGTGAGACGAGCGTAAGACTTGTGTAAGACGATCGTAAGACATGCGTGAGACGTGAGTACCTTCAGCATTAAACCGAGCACTCCCAATTCAATTTTGAGCAGAATCAATTGACAACTCACGAGTGAAAACCGCCATTAAAACCCTCTTATGAGGTCTCGCCCTAAGAGTGGGACTATGTACTCTGGCAGTGAGTACGTACTCTCCATGCACTCTGGCTGTGAGTACTTACTCTCCATGTACTCTTTCAGTGAATACTTACTCTCCATGCACTTTGGCAGTGAGTACTTACTCTCCATGCACTTTGGCAGTGAGTACTTACTCTCCATGTACTCTGGCAGTGAGTACTTACTCTCCATGTACTCTGGCAGTGAGTACTTACTCTCCATGTACTCTGGCAGTGAGTACTTACTCTCCATGCACTCTGGCAGTGAGTACTTACTCTCCATGCACTTTGGCAGTGAGTACTTACTCTCCATGTACTCTGGCAGTGAGTACTTACTCTCCATGTACTCTGGCAGTGAGTACTTATTCTCCATGTACTCTGGCAGTGAGTACTTACTCTCCATGCACTCTGGCAGTGAGTACTTACTCTCCATGTACTCTGGCAGTGAGTACTTATTCTCCATGCATTCTGGCAGTGAGTACTTAATAGTCTGAATGAAATTATGAGTTGGAGATAGAACCAAACACAGAATCCCCTCTTAGAAAAGGCTTAAAACCAAACTAGAGAAAGTCTTAGGGCTTACTACAAGGCTGGACCAGGCGTCCCAGGGCTTGCTACAAGGCTGGACCATGCGTCCCAGGGCTTGCTACAAGGCTGGACCATGCGTCCTAGGGCTTGCTACAAGGCTGGACCAGGCGTCCCAGGGCTTGCTACAAGGCTGGACCAGGCGTCCCAGGGCTTGCTACAAGGCTGGACCAGGCGTCCCAGGGTGTGCTACAAGGCTGGACCAGGCGTCCCAGGGCTTGCTACAAGGCTGGATCAGGCGTCCCAGGGCTTGCTACAAGGCTGGACCAGGCGTCCCAGGGCTTGCTACAAGGCTGGACCATGCGTCCTAGGGCTTGCTACAAGGCTGGACCAGGCGTACCAGGGCTTGCTACAAGGCTGGACCAGGCGTCCCAGGGCTTGCTACAAAGCTGGACCATGCGTCCTAGGGCTTGCTACAAGGCTGGACCAGGCGTACCAGGGCTTGCTACAAGGCTGGACCAGGCGTCCCAGGGCTTGCTACAAGGCTGGACCATGCGTCCTAGGGCTTGTTACAAGGCTGGACCAGGCGTCCCAGGGCTTGCTACAAGGCTGGACCAGGCGTACCAGGGCTTGCTACAAGGCTGGACCAGGCGTACCAGGGCTTGCTACAAGGCTGGACCATGCGTCCTAGGGCTTGCTACAAGGCTGGACCAGGCGTCCCAGGGCTTGCTACAAGGCTGGACCAGGCGTCCCAGGGCTTGCTACAAGGCTGGACCAGGCGTACCAGGGCTTGCTACAAGGCTGGACCAGGCGTACCAGGGCTTGCTACAAGGCTGGACCAGGCGTCCCAGGGCTTGCTACAAGGCTGGACCAGGCGTCCCAGGGCTTGCTACAAGGCTGGACCAGGCTGCAGCAAGCACTTAAGTCTCCACTAAACTAAACCTGCACATCTTCAACCGTGACGACTTAGTTTGTACTTATTAACCACCTTAAGAGTTCCAAAACACTATACGAGCTTCTCTGTGACAATAATAACCTTGGCTTGTGAAATTTGGATACCCGTAAACTGATTAATTAATACAGACTGGGTTGGCTTGATCGACGAAAGATGTACAGACTTCGTAAGTGAACATGTAAATGCTTGGTAAATCCTGCCTCCAGTCTCTGAACTAAGAGGCATCACCAAACTGGAAAACAAATGGAAAAAGGGTAAAAGGGTGACATGATTACGACATGTCAAATATCTTACCCTTCAAGGCAATGCATGAGACGACAGACCCGCAGCGCTCTGCATGAACAGTGACTGAACAAGAAACTCATAAGTGACCTAAAGAGGCAAGAAAGAACATCTTAAATGTAAAATCAGTGTTCATGTAGAATGAGGAGAACCTAGAGATAGTTAATGCTAACTTGGGTGTATAATTTATGGAGACAGTACGATAAACACGAGAGGGATCGGGAACCACTGCAATTACCCAGGAGCTGAAGCTCGCCCTGCAAGGACATTTAGGTGATTACATATTGGTTAGAAGAAATATACATTCGTCAAAAGTTTCATCCTTTAAACGATCCTTCTGCATTATAATCCCTTCTGTTCTCGTATGTTTAATTTCAGATGACTTCCAAACCAAAGATTTGGCAGGCATTGTGAGTAAGTTATTTTTACGTTAAGTTCAATTAAATAACACGCTAAAGCTTGCGTTACCGATATACTAACTAATTTCTAATGTCTTAAACAAATTCTAACTAAGCTTGGCGACTCTAACACACTAACACACATGTAAAGGGGCATTTACGCAGGCACGCGCGTTCGCATGCACACACACACGCACGCACACACACACCCACATTCTTCCTATAATCAGTGCTTACGATATTATGATTATTTTTAGTTAAGTTTTCATGAATTTTTAAGTTTTTTTTTTCCTTTCCGTTACTGTCTTGTTTTCTAAGTTCTTTTGTCTGTCCTTAGAGATGTTTATGTTTCTTTTTCGGAATATTTGTGTGTTTGTCCATATGTTTAATCTTGGATTTGTTGTATCTGCATTGTCTGTGTGTGGTTGTTAGTTTGTCTTTATGTATATAAGTCTCTATGCATATATGAATGTTAATGTATGTATGTATGTATGTATGTATGTATGTATGTATGTATGTATGTATGTTTGCCTGTCACTATAACTTACCTTAATTAACCTGAGGGGCCAGTAATACTAATGGCCACGACGAGGACAGGAAGCCGGCGGCTTGTCAAAGGTCCCCTCATTTGCCTTGATGATGATGTTTTCCAGTTGTATTTTAAACCTCGACAGAGTTTTGGCATTTACGGCTCCGGGGGGTAGGCGGTCCCATAGGTTTATAAGCCCTGTGAGTGAAAAAGTCTTCAGTCTTTCATTGTGGCTTGTTGAGCTTGACACTGTTGCTCCTTGTTTGTGTTACATCTGACCTTTTGAAGAAATTGTCCGGATCAACATCCTCCAAATTGTTCAATGTTTGGAAAGTTTCAATAAGATCCGCCCTGTCACGCCATTTACTGTCACTCACTATCACACCACTCTCTCCCTTTACTGTCACTCACTATCACACCACTCTCTCCCTTTACTGTCACTCACTATCACACCACTCTCTCCCTTTACTGTCACTCACTATCACACCACTCTCTCCCTTTACTGTCACTCACTATCACCCCACTCTCTCCCTTTACTGTCACTCACTATCACACCACTCTCTCCCATTTCTGTCACTCACTATCACACCATCTCTCTCCCTTTACTGTCACTCACTATCACACCACTCTCACCACTCTCTCCCTTTACTGTCACTCACTATCACACCACTCTCTCCCTTTACTGTCACTATCACAGCACTCTCTCCCTTTACTGTTACTCACTATCACACCACTCTCTCCCTTTTCTGTCACTCACTATCACACCACTCTCTCCTTTTACTGTCACTCACTATCACACCATTTCTCTCCGTTCATCCACAGACAAACGTTCCACACTGAAGTACAAGGAAAAGATAACATATCCGGGTTGCACGTTCTTGGGATATTTAGCATCTCAAATCAGCGACCCCAATACTTTCTTCCTTGATTTCCTATGATGTATTATTTATAAAGCGGCAACCCCACATTTCTTTCCCATTTTTCTCTAATGTATTAAAAATACAACGCCTCATTTATGTATATAATTACCTAATTTGATTTTTAACTTTCTCCTGATATGAAAGTTCATTCGCAGCGGTGGGAGGACAGAGTGCCAAAGTTTTTTGTATTCATCATATTTTTAAACCAAAATAGTAAAATATAGCAATTATTATGAAACCGGCAGTTATTATGACTGGACCTTACTTCATCATAATGAAATAAGGTCCATGCTATAAATTTTTACGACCAACCAATAACAGACGGTTAGCAAAGACGTATTAGCCAGTGGAAAATTACCTTCATAATGACCAAGAAATATTATAAACTAACAATGATAGGATAATAATTTTCAGTTATTGATGGCAGAAGCAAATGCTGACCCATTTGTGACTAGTGATTGGTGATCAGCCAGTCATGATCAACAGTTATTAGAAACGTTAGTGACCAGTCAGTATTGGGCAACAATTTGCGACTATCAAGTAATATTAAACAGCTAATATGGCCTTCTGTTAGAAACTAATTTCTAATGACCAATTCCTGACTTTACAGCCATTAATGACCAGAGTGTAATAATCAATAATTAGTGACGAATTAGGAGTAAGGATTTTTAATTAGCCAGTATAATGACCATCCCGTAGTGACCAGATAACCGTAAGCTATCAGCAACACTGCTATATTAATGATCAAATCAATATATATTATAGTAACAGTTAAAAGGACGACGAGTAGAGAGATCAGACACCGTGACCTACGGTGATGACCAAGTGACGAGGACCCGTTATCTTCCTCCTGCAGAGGTGAGCCCCGAGGACTTCATGCGCCGTCTGGGGCGGGAGTACGTGAGGGAGTGTAGGAGACAGCACGGGAAGGCTCTGGGCAGCCTCGGGTACAACCTGGAGGGCTTCCTCACCAACATGACGGGGATATGTGACATCATCAAGACCAACTCTAATCTCAAGACCAAGAACGACGTCCCGAGCCTCGTCTGTAACCGCCAAGATGGGAAAGTCCAGCTTCATTTCTTCACCAACCGCGAGCCAATAAGGTATTTCGTGGGTGGAGTGATCGAGGGAGTGAGTCTTCAAGTCTTCTCCAGGAGCGTGTCGGTGGCTTGCGACAAGTGTGACACTCCTAATGGCAACCGCTCAGCGCACAGGTTCTACTTTAAGTACACAGTCGAGGACAACTGCGTCGAGGCCGCAAGAGAGCGAGTGTCCAACGACGCTTCGCTCAGTGGCCAGGAGCCCTCGACGCCCACCCGCGTGTCGTCCAGCCTGAAGGATTCCAAGATTGGTGTGAGCAGTTTCTGCAAGGCGTTTCCATGGCACTTCGTGTGCAACAAGTCCATGAAGATAACCCAGATCGGCACGGGACTACTGCAGGTTAGTGAAGGCTTTGTCTGTCTCTTGCGGCAACAATTATTTTCGTGTTTGTTATAATTTATGAAAAACAGTTTTGAACAAAAATCGACTACAGTAATGTACCAAATTATATTTTCTTGTTGATTTTTATAATTATCAATTATCTCTAAATTACTTTCATATCAGATTTGATGGATTAATATACAGTATTTTCAATTCATTGATGAGCGGCTCATGGAACCACTTTCATGGTGGAAAAGTGTGCTAGATAATCTTTATGTTGCACTCACACCTCTGGCCACACTCACACCTCTGGCCACACTCACACCTCTGGCCACACTCACACCTCAGGCCACACTCACACCTCTGGCTACAATCACACCTCTGGCTACACTCACACCTCTGGCCACACTCACACCTCTGGCTACACTCAAACCTCTGGCCACAATCACACCTCTGGCTACACTCACACCTCTGGCCACAATCACACCTCTGGCTACACTCACACCTCTGGCCACACTCACACCTCTGACCACACTCACACCTCTGGCCACACTCACACATCTGGCCACACTCACACCTCTGGCTACACTCACACCTCTGGCTACACTCACACCTCTGGCCACACTCACACCTCTGGGCACAATCACACCTCTGGCCACACTCAATGTACACTAACATAGATGGGATTACAAATAAAACAAATGAACTTTGAGAATGGGTACTTGAAGGAAACCCAGACATAATAGCACTCACAGAAACAAAGCTAACGAAAACAATAACAACTGCAATGTTTCCACAGGACTATTGTGTTGTGAAGAAAGAGAGAGAAGGAAGAGGAGGTGGTGGTGTAGCTCTGCTGGTAAGAAAAGGCTGGGATTTTGAGATGGTTATTCAGGGCTGTGAAGGTTCCAGTGACTACATAACAGGTACACTGGAGGACAAAAAATTATAGTCGCAGTCATATATATCCCTGCACCCAGAATGGTGGGTGGGATATCGCCACCTGGGACAGAAGACCCAGACTGGAATATGATACAAATAACATGGCCACCATTAACATAATAGAGAGAGCAGCATCTCTCGATAGCAGGAATGGATCTGAACATCTAATCATGTGGGACTTCAACCATGGGAACATAGATGGATAGAACAGAGACCCACATGGAGGACCAGATACCTGGAGAGCTAACCTGCTGAACGTAGCAACAAGAAACTTTCTAAGCCAACACATCAAGGGACCGACAAGAATGAGAGGCGAAGATGAACCAGCAATGCTTGATCTGATATTTACCCTCAATGAGTGGGATATAAGGGAAGTTAAGATGGAAGCACCCTTGGAAATGAGTGATCACAGTGTATTGATCTTTGAGTACCTGGTAGAGCTAGGACTTATCTCCCCCAAAAAAAGAGCTGGGAAACAAAAGGCTGGCCTACCGAAAGGGGAATTATGAGGGATGAGAAGTTTCCTAAGGGATATATCATGGGACACAGACCTCAGAGCTAAGTCTGTACAAGACATGATGGACTATGTCACCCAAAAGTGTCAGGAGGCAGTAAACTGGTTTATCCCGGCCCAAAAGGAAAATGGTTTAATGGGCATGTATGGAAGCAAAGGAACTGAACAGAAGGGAGTGGAGGAACTTCCGAAATAACAAAACACCAGAAAGCAGAGAGAGATACCAAAGAACCAGGAACAAGTATGTTAGTGTGAGAAGAGAAACCGAGAAAAACTATGAAAATGATATAGCAACCAAAGCCAAGACCGAACCAAAGCTACTCCACAGTCACATCAGGAGGAAAACAACAGTGAAAGAACAGGTAATGAAACAGAACAGGCGAGGACAGGTATACAGATAATGACAAAGAGGTGTGTGAAGAACTCAACAAGAGGTTCCAGGAGGTCTTCACAATAGAACAAGGTGAGGTCACTGCGCTAGGAGAGGGCGCAGTAAACCAGGCGGCCTTGGAAGGGTTCGAAATTGCGAGAGATGAGGTCAAGAGACACCTGTTCCATCTGGATGTGAGAAAGGATGTTGGTCCAGACTGAATCTCACCATGGGTATTGAAAGAGTGTACAGAGGCACTCTGCTTGCCACTCTCGATTGTGTATAGTAGATCACTGGAGACGGGAGACCTACCAGAAATATGCAAGACGGCGAATGTGGTCTCAATATACAAATAGGGCAACAGACAAGATGCACTGAACTACAGGGCAGTGTCCTTAACTTGTATACCATGCAAGGTGATGGAGAAGATCGTGAGAAAAAATCTAGTAACACATCTGGAGAGAAGGGACTTCGTGACAAATCGCCAACATAGGTTCAGGGAGGGTAAATCTTGCCTTACTGGCTAAATAGAATTCTACGACCAGGTAACAAAGATTAAGCATGAAAGAGAAGGCAGGGCGGACTGCATTTTTTGGACTGTTGGAAAGTCTTTGGCACAGTCCCCCATAAGAGGCTGGTACATAAGCTGGAGAGACAGGCAGGAGTAACTGATAAAGTGCTCCAGTGGATAAGGGAATACCTATGCAATAGGAAGAAAAGAGTTACGGTGAGGAGTGTGACCTCAGATTGGCATGAAGCCACCAGTGGAGTCCCACAGGGATCTGTACTCGGTCCTATCCTGTTTCTGATATACGTAAACGATCTCCCGGAGAGTATAGACCCATTCCTCTTAATGTCTGCTGACGATGCCAAAATTATGAGAAGGATTAAGACAGAGGAAGACTGCTTGAGGCTTCAAGAAGACCTAAACAAACTGAAGGAATGATAGAACAGATGGTTGTTAGAGTTTAACCTAAGCAAATGTAATGTATTGAAGATAGGTGTAGGGAGCAAGAGGCCAGTTAAAAGGTATCACTTGGGAGATGAAATTCTTCAAGAGTCGGAGAGACAAAAAGACCTGAGGGTTGATATCACGCCAGACCTGTCCCCTGAAGCTCATATCAAGTGGATGACATAAGCAGCATATGCCAGGTTGACTAACATAAGAACGGCATTTAGACTCTTGTGTAAGGAATCATTCAGAACTTTGTATACCATCTATGTCAGACCAATCCTGGAGTATGCAGCCCAAGCATGGAGTCCATATCTAGTCAAGCATAAGACTAAACTGGAAAAGGTTCAAAGGTTTGCCACCAGACTAGTACCCGAGCTGAGAGGTATGACCTGCGAGGAGAGACTACGGGAATTTAACCTCACGTCGCTGGAAGACAGAAGAGTTATGAGGGACATGATCATCATGTACAAGATTCTCAGAGGAATTGACAGGGTAGATAAAGACAGGCTATTTAACAGAAGGGGCACACGCACTAGGAGACACAGGAGTGCCCAAATGAGCCACAGAGATATTAGAAAGATTTTTTTTTAGTGTCAGAGTAGTTGAGAAATGGAATGCATTAGGAAGTGATGTGGTGGAGGCTGACTCCATACACAGTTTCAAGTGTATGGAGTCAGCCTATTGGGTTCTATGATAGAGCCCAATGGGCACAGAAATCTGTACACCAGTTGATTAACAGTTGAGAGGCGAGACCAAAGAGCCAGAGCTCAACCCCCGCAAGCACAAATAGGTGATTACACACACCTCTGGCCACACCTACACATCTGACCACACTCACACCTCTGGCCACACTCACACCTCTGGCCACACTCACACATCTGGCTACACTCACACCTCTGGCCACACTCACACCTCTGGCCAAACTCACACATCTACAACACTCACACCTCTGGCCACACTCACACCTCTGGCCACACCTACACATCTGGCTACACTCACACCTCTGGCCACACCTACACATCTGGCCACACTTACACCTCTGGCCACACTCACACCTCTGGCCACACCTACACATCTACTACACTCACACATCTGGCCACACTCACACCTCTGGCCACACCTACACATCTACTACACTAACACATCTGGCCACACTCACACCTCTGGCCACACCTACACATCTACTACACTCACACATCTGGCCACACTCACACCTCTGGCCACACCTACACATCTACTACACTAACACATCTGGCCACACCTACACCTCTGGCCACACCTACACCTCTGGCCACACTCACTATTCATGTTATGTGCATTTAACTAAGGTCTACAGACGAGATGTCAATGGCAGATGCGTTTAGATTATCACTGATTCTCTGACGTCCAGCGATGTCTCTTTGGGGACATCAAACTACTATTGAGTTTCCTGGTCGATATTTTTTTTTTTCATTCTGCCCAACGGGTGAATCATGCTCGAGGAATATGTCTCAATATAGCCATATCTATATATCTATTTTCTAAGATTTACTATGAATCCCTTAAATATTTTTGTAAGCGGTTTATTTTCAGACATTAATATTTGTCAATGTTTCTGATATATTATTTAAGTCTTTAAACATCGTTTCAAAGATCCTGAAACGCTTCTAAATTTTATGGGATTTTATTGAATATTTCGACAATTTTATGAGGACCTTCATATTGTATATATTTTACAAATATATGTAACATTCCGTGTTCCATTATTAAATTCATAGTCAACAAACCATCAACATGTTTCAAGCTTATATATAAATTACTTGGACTAGTTGGCAGAGAGCCGCCCATACTTCTTTGAAGATCCGGGTTCGAACCCTAATGTTTCAAGTGGTTGGGCACCATTCCTTCACTTGCCTCGTTATACCAGCTCCTAGTCTTCATATTCGAGCTCCTTGTCCTCATATCCGAGTTCATTGTCCTCGTATCCCAGCTCCATGTCCTGATATCCCAGATCCTTGTCCTCGTATCCCAGCTTTTTGTCCTCATGTCCCAGCTTCTTGTCCTCATATCCCAGCTCCTTGTCCTCATATCCCAGCTCCTTGTCCTTATATCCCAGCTCCCTGTCCTCATATCCCGGATTCTTGTCCTTATATCACAGCTTCTTGTTCTTATATCCCAGCTCCTTGTCATCATATCTCAGCTCCATGTCCTCATATCCGAGCTCCTTGTCAATCATATCCCAGCTCCTTGTCCACATATCCCAGCTCCTTGTCCGCATATCCCAGTTCCTTGTCCTCATATCCCGGATTCTTGTCCTTATATCACAACTTGTTTTTATATCCCAGCTCCTTGTCCTCATATCCCAGCTCTTTTTCCTCTTGTCAAAGCACTTTGTTCTTATATCCCAGCTCCTTGTCCTCATATCCCAGCGCCTTGTCCTCATATCCTGGCTTCTTGTCCTCATATCCCAGCTCCTTGTCCTCATATCCTGGCTTCTTGTCCTCATATCCCAGCTCCTTGTCCTCATATCCTGGCTTCTTGTCCTCAAACCCCGCTCCTTGTCCTCATACGTAGCGATGCGGGCTTCGCACTTTCTCCCCATAACTCCCTTACCTAACCTTAATCTCTTGACAAAGCAGCACGTGACCGGACGCCATCTCCCGCCCCCAATCTCAGGTGTTTGGCCAACAGCCGCTCCGTCAGAACGAGGAGGTGTCGACGTGCTTCTCGCTGGTGTTCCCTGAAGGGATGAGTCTGACGTACGACCAGGTGCTCGGCAGGATCAACACGCCCTACGTCCTCTCCATCAAGTACCAGCAGTCGTCTCGCCTCAAGATGAAGGTGAGTATATAGTAATGCTCCTCTGCCCAACCACTTGTGGGCTAGACGGTAGAGCGACGGTCACGCTTCATGCAGGTCGGCGTTCAATCTCCGACCGTCCAAGTGGTTTGGTACCATTCCTTCTTTTCCTCCGTCCCCATCCCATCCTAAACCATGATCCTGATCCTTTCCATTAGCTATATTGTCGTAATGCCATAGTCTTTTTCCCTGATAATTTCCCTTCCTTACTTCTCTCATTACCATCTCTTATGAAGAGAATCGTATACAGTCAAACCTTCACAGTAGCAATGGTAACTATTGCTATTTCAGAGTAGCATGTTCTAATGAACATGCTATTTCTGTAATGAAATTTTTCCATATAATTCGGTAGTCTGTACCTCGGGGTCCCTACGACATATCTTATGCATTATACATCGTCTATAAGGTTTGGTCAGTCCTGGTACTGATAAGCACCTGGTCTGACCAAACCTGATAGACGATCAATGGCGTGGTGGTCACAGTACTGTGTACGTTTACGGGTGACCACACTCACACCTATGGTCGGGTCATTTAGAGTTCTTAGTGATATATCTATACCTATATCTCTATATATATATATATTTATATAAAAAGTTTGTGAGGGTACCACCTCTGGTGCCAATGTGGGGACCCATAGCCTCGGAGAAGAAAATAAAAAGTATTCAGAGGAGACCTTGTGGTTTCTCACTGAACACTAATATGATCTTCTCCAACCACCCCCATTCTATTGTATGTACACATATATATTTACTTTATTTGAACTTTGTTACAAAAAAGGAGTTACATATGGGTTACAAAGATGGTTATCATAGGTTGTCGAGTTCCTCCAGCTCCTCAGATGGCGGGCAGGAACCCTGGATGCAGTGCGCATTTCCCCTCTGTATCACCACACTGAGGCGCTGGAGAAGAAAGCTTGCAGCTCTTGGGTCCCTTGTTGTTTCAATGAGCCTAGAACCCAGTTCCTTCAAAAAACTGGTAGCACTTTTACCCCAGGCGCCTAATGTCTCAGAAGCAATGGGGACAAAATTGTAGTGGTGATCCAGTTCTCTATACTTACGGGATTTGGCTGCTTCCCTATGGGTGGCAGCGCCACCTGGTTGTGCAACACTGAGGTTAATGTAGGTGATGGCCAGGGTTGATACGCACGTGTAGTCCCATACCAACTGCTTGCCATTCTTCCAGGGATTCACTGTGATACCACCGGGCGACCAATAAGAGCATCAGAGTTACGGGGCGTTAGGTAACGGGGCTCTCTTTCAGCTGGGCATCCAGCTGTGGTGAGGCTCCTCTTGATGATGTCGTTAACTTCACTGTGCCTCGAGTGCCATCCCCCTGTGCTTTGGCAGAGTAGGCCATGGTGGCCGTACCTGTCAGCCACCACCTCGCCGCAAATACACCTATATCTGGTGTGGATTGGGGCAGCAAGGCGGAGGGCTACAACAATATATATTTATATATATTTATATATATAATATAAATAATATATTATATATATAATATATATATATTTATTATATATTTATATATATATATATATATATATATATTATTAAATATTACCGAAAAAGTAAGATTATTAATTCTAACACGAATTTTCTCGATCTTTCTTATGTTTCTTTTCACTGTTGATGGTAATTGAAAAATCAATTCTCCAAAATTCATTTTTACTTCTAGTCTGACGCGACACTTGAGCGCGTTTCGTAAAACTTATTACATTTTCAAAGACTTTAGTTTACACACACACACAACTATAACTGAAAAGAGCTTAAACATCTTCGATTTTTATTACCTGCATTTGGGTGAGGTGATATGTTACAACAGTTTTGGATGAGGTGAAAACAAACTTTCAACACAAGCCAGAACACGAAACAATGGGTATTGAAGGTAAGAATGGAAGTAATTGCAGAGAGCCTATTGGCCCATATTTCTTGATGTTTCTATATTGGAGTGGAGTCTTGAAGTTGGAAGAATATAGTTGTGCGTTAATTGGCTGTTGATTGCTGGTGTTGACTTCTTGATGTGTAGTGCCTCGCAGATGTCAAGCCGCCTGCTATCGCTGTATCTATCGATGCTTTCTGTGTTGTTTGCTAAGATTTCTCTGGTGATGGTTTGGTTGTGGGAAGAGATTATATGTTCCTTAATGGAGCCCTGTTGCTTATGCATCGTTAAACGCCTGGAAAGAGATGTTGTTGTCTTGCCTATATACTGAGTTTTTTGAGGCTTACAATCCCCAAGAGGGCATTTGAAGGCATAGACGACGTTGGTCTCTTTTAAAACGTTCTGCTTATATATATATATATATATATATATATATATATATATATATATATATATATATATATATATATATATATATATATATATATATATCCCTTAATGCCTGTGAGTGGGAACAGCCCACTCTCCCAGGGCTGTTCCCACTGACTCAGACTTGGTGCACCTTGTGATTGCACTGCCACCCAAATTGCTGTCCCAGCCATCCTTATCGGCATTGGATGACCTGATCAAGGAAATTTCTACCAGACAATTTAGGTTAATGAGCGGGGATACGTGATCCCCACTTCATGGAATGCAGCCCAAAATGGGATACCCTGGCAGACTGAACACCCAGACCAACCTGACTGAAAGTTAGCAAACATTCCAGATGAAACATCTCTATCATTGACAGAGTAGCCACAACTTTGCTGGAAGCAACAACAGACCCCCAGTGACCCTGTCCGTCTCAGAACTGTGGGTGCTCCCATGCAGGGGATTTTCTTTTGGAAGCCCCAATGTCTGCAACAGGCACACATCTTCATCCATAGCAGTTGCTACCCTATTCCTCTCAATATATAGTTGAGTTTGCAGTGAGGCCAGATGCAGATAAATATGAATTGCTTGGCCTGCACTGCGGAAGATCAGAACGTTGGCACACAAGACACGATGAGGTCAATGACATCATCAAGAGGATCCTTGCCTCAGCCCAGTGTCCTGCATAGAGAGAGAGCCTCTTAATCTAATTTATTATAATTCTACTGCTGCAGCTGGTTAACTGGATGGAGTCACATTTCGCCCATGGAGAAGTGGCAGGCAATTAGCGTGGGAATATACTTGTGTATCACCCCCCCCCCCCACCATGGCACCCACTTACATTCACCTCTCTGTTGGCCAAGCAGGAGCTGCTACCACACACAGAGAAAGAAAGAGGGCAAACAACCCAGGGAAATAGATCATCATTTCAATTATATTTTCTAGATGATTCGAAACCCACGATCCATTGGGAGAGAGTGCAAGGAGGTTTCTTAAGGATCTAGGTTCCAGGATCATTGAAAAAATAAGAAACCCTAGAGAGGCAAACTTTCTTTTCCAGCGGTTCAGCGTGGCGACCCAGAGGGGGAATGCCCACTGCATCCTCAGTTCCTGCCCGGCGTCGGAGGAGTCTGAGACTGATTAATGTTTACAGAAAAGCTACTAATGTGTGCTCTTATGCACATTATTATTTCAAAAACATTTATAATATTTACCATATTAAAGTCAAATATTTGGTGCTTTCTTCCATGTTTTTGAGAGCCTTAAGGGTTTGCAGCCCAGAATTTAGCAATGATGAATTGACCAAAATATATGAAATTGGGATCAAATTGTAATATTTTAAATCAGACTTAGACCTCTCGTATTGCTAGGTAAAACACACTTTTTACAGTGCGAAACTTAAGCTCAGCCGAAACTTAAACAACTCACTCGTGTTACACTATTCTAAAGGGCTTGCTAAACTTCCTCAGAATTTCAAGATTATTAATGTTACTAAATGTTCAACAACAGTAATCAAACATTTGGATGCTTGATGTTAAATTCATTTGAGCGTTGATTATTGGGACCAGCTGGTGAATGACTGTGGCTTCAGGTGTTCGCAGCCTCCTGTCATGACTGCTGCCAATGAGGATTTCGGTGCCATTTTCAACGTGGTGTTCTTTACACTAACCAATATGGCGCATACTTTGGAGTACACAATCTCAAAAATTAAACTTGTATAGATATAATTCGTTACTGGGCCTCAGTTCGTCAGAGGAGGATGAAATGTTACTTTTCATAATCAACCAGGGAAGAAGCTGAAGCCAGGGAAGCTGTATGAGGTATTGTTTTAATAAATGACAGGACGAATCCTCGTGTTTCACATCATGATTTACAATTCGTGACAGCTATATCCCATATAACTTTGTCATCCTTCTTAAAGAGCTTAGTCAATTCAAAACCCTTCCTTAGTGTCAGTTTCAGAGCCTCACCAGTCTTCCATAGCGGTTAATGCTCCGCTCTACTCCACTAAACATCATCCGTCACAATACTGGGAGGCACCCCACACTTAGGATGTACGGCGGCACCTCCACTCATGCAAACATTATCCCATCAGCCGTTTGGTTGGGAACGTCCAAGTCAAGCACACGTTCGATCCTCCCGCATACTTCCTGCAGGGCAGTGGCTCTGTCCTTCAGCCAATGCACATCTATTTGTGTAGGGGAGCCTCACAATATGTGCCGGACTTGTGCACATTCTTCCAGCATCATCCACCTCATCCAAATCCCGGAGTCCAGGCCCTGCACCAGAGGAGGACGTATCTGCTGCAAGCAAGTTCAACTTATGCGGTCATCCTCCTGATCCCTGTTGACACCGAGACCCAACAGCGCCAGCACCTCATTACACACAATGCCCACACCACAGGGCTTCAATACATCCGTCGTGTCAGACAGCGGTCCTCAATAAGTCAACACTCGCCAAGACAACCCCACCTTTACCAGGACAAGCCATAACCTTTCTTGTTCCGCTGCACTCGGTCCGTCTGAAGGCACCCCACTTATATCAGCCCGCACGACATCCTCCATCCCAACCTGCTTGTTATCATACCCCCACTAAGAGACGCCGCTGGGATTGAAGAACACCCGGGTTCGAGACCCATAACGTACACATTCGTACGCTCTGCACCACTGATTGCACTGTGTGGCTTCATAGCGGGACTCGCTCTCTGTAGTGGAGGGAAGTCCTCATCTCGTAATAAATTGATACGGGCCGCCACTGTCACTGTACGCAGAAGCAAAGTGACCAACCGGACCACACTACAAACAAGTATTCTGTTGCCCAGTGTAGAGCAAGCTGATTGTGTGACCTTCCACCGACACAGGTGAAGGGACATTCCAAGTGAGGACCATATTAACTATCCAAGATCCATTGAGGAATTTTTTCGACTTACCAGGAGAGTGCTTGTTCAAACATACCCGCTCGAACGAACCACTTTAACATCGTCCAAGAACGCAAAGGATAGTGCCATTCAACATCTCATACGGTACATCCAGTACAGCAATTGTAAATGAGCGCCTGATTGGATTGCCTTCCATTAGCAGCCCAACAACTTTGTCCTGCATATTTCGTCATGAAGTCCATAAATGACACACTAGTGGCGAATTTCACTACCCGACATTTATTTCTGAGCAGCTGGAAGTCAACCAGCCAACCACGTTCCTATCCAGCAGAATCAGTCCGCCTTACCAGAGGCTCGTACTCTTACAGGAGGTTCATACTCTGACCAGAGGCTCGTACTCTGAGCAGAGGCTCGTACTCTGACCAGACGCTCGTACTCTGACCAGAGGCTCGTACGCTGACTAGTGGCTCGTACTATGTCCAGAGGGTCGTACTCTGACTAGAGGCTCGTACTCTGACCAGAGGCTCGTACTCTAACCAGAGGCTCGTACTCTGACCAGAGTCTCGTACTCTGACCAGAGGCTCGTACTCTGACTAGAGGCTCGTACTCTGACCAGAGGCTCGTACTCTGACCAGAGGCTCGTACTCTGACTAGAGGCTCGTACTCTAACCAGAGGCTCGTACTCTGACCAGAGGCTCGTACTCTGACTAGAGGCTCGTACTCTGACCAGAGTCTCGTACTCTGACTAGAGGCTCGTACTCTGACCAGAGGTTCGTACTCTGAGCAGAGGCTCGTATTCTGACTAGAGGCTCGTACTCTGACCAGAGGCTCATACTCTGACCAGAGGCTCGTACTCTGACCAGAGGTTCGTACTCTGACCAGAGGCTCATACTCTGACCAGAGGCTCGTACTCTGACCAGAGGTTCGTACTCTGAGCAGCGGCTCGTACTCTGACCAGAGGCTCGTACTCTGACCAGAGGCTCGTACTCTGACTAGAGGCTCGTACTCTGACCAGAGTCTCGTACTCTGACTAGAGGCTCGTACTCTGACCAGAGGTTCGTACTCTGAGCAGAGGCTCGTACTCTGACCAGAGGTTCGTACTCTGACCAGAGGCTCATACTCTGACCAGAGGCTCGTACTCTGACCAGAGGTTCGTACTCTGACCAGAGGCTCATACTCTGACCAGAGGCTCGTACTCTGACCAGAGGTTCGTACTCTGAGCAGAGGCTCGTACTCTGACCAGAGGCTCGTACTCTGACCAGAGGCTCGTACTCTGACTAGAGGCTCGTACTCTGACCAGAGTCTCGTACTCTGACTAGAGGCTCGTACTCTGACCAGAGGTTCGTACTCTGAGCAGAGGCTCGTACTCTGACCAGAGGCTCGTACTCTGACCAGAGGCTCGACCAGAGGCTCGTACTCTGACCAGAGGTTCGTACTCTGACCAGAATCTTGTACTCTGACAAGGGTCTCGTACTCTGACATGAGGCTCGTACTCTGACCAGAGGCTCGTACTCTGACCAGAGGCTCGTACTCTTACAGGAGGTTCGTACTCTGACCAGAGGCTCGTACTCTGACCAGAGGCTCGTACTCTGACCAGAGGCTCGTACTCTACCCTCTACCCAGAGGCTCGTACTTTTACAGGAGGTTCGTACTCTGACCAGGGGCTCGTACTCTGACCAGAGGCTCGTACTCTGACCAGAGGCTCGTACGCTGAGCAGAGGCTCGTACTCTGACCAGAGGCTCGTACCCTGACCAGAGGCTCGTACTCTGACCAGAGGCTCGTACTCTGTCCAGAGGCTCGTACTCTGAGCAGAGGCTCGTACTCTGACCAGAGGCTCGTACTCTGAGCAGAGGCTCGTACTCTGACAATCCAGACAACATGCAACAATCTCCAGTAGGACAAGTGGTCCAACAATCCTGTAGGCCAGGTAATATGATAATGTCCAGTAGGCCTACTTACTGTGATATTGTCCAGTAGGCCTACTTACTGTGATATTGTCCAGTAGGCCTACTTACTGTGATAATGTCCAGTAGGCCTACTTTCTTCGATAATGTCCAGTAGGCCTACTTTCTGTGATAATGTCCAGTAGGCCTACTTTCTGTGATAATGTCCAGTAGGCCTACTTTCTGTGATAATGTCCAGTAGGCCTACTTACTGTGATATTGCTCAGTACGCCTATTTGGTTTGATAATGCTGCATATGCATATTTTGTGCAATAATGCAGTAGGCCTACTTTCTTTGCTATTGTCTAGTAAGCCTACTTCCTATTCTACTTTCAATAGGCCTACATTCACCAGACCTACGGGGTGGGCATATTGAAGTTACTTCCAGGAAAGGTTTCATATATAGCTCCAGTTCTCAGTCGATATTTATACAAGTAATGGACAAGCCTGAATTAATAATTAAAATTATATATGTCTGACAACTTTTCTTATATAAAATGCAGGCTTAATAATGCGATTGACACAGCATATTAAACCACAATTGTATTTTAATATCACGTTAATATCATGTTCATTAAAATACAATTGTATTAATAATACAATTTTAATAAATACTATTGTATTTTAATGAGTAAGGCTAATTAAGGTGCAGACAATGGGAGACGCCACTAGTAAAGTTTCTGGTGGTCCTATTGCACCACCAGTGTTGGGTACAATGTTCAACTTGCTGCTCCACTGCTGCACATGTATTCTTAATACATTATAATAAGACAAAACAAAGTATTCATGAAGACCGTCACTAGGTGTTTCCTTAGTCACAATCCCTTAGAACGTGTGGCTGAGGCGGAACCACTGATCATAGTCCCACGGAACGTGTGGCTGAGGCGGTACCACTGATCATAGCCCCACGGAACGTGTGGCTGAGGCGGTACCACTGATCATAGCCCCACGGAACGTGTGGCTGAGGCGGTACCACTGATCATAGCCTCACGGAACGTGTGGCTGAGGCGGAACCACTGATCATAGTCCCACGGAACGTGTGGCTGAGGCGGAACCACTGATCATAGTCCCACGGAACGCGTGGCTGAGGCGGTACCACTGATCATAGCCCCACGGAACGTGTGGCTGAGGCGGTACCACTGATCATAGCCTCACGGAACGTGTGGCTGAGGCGGAACCACTGATCATAGTCCCACGGAACGTGTGGCTGAGGCGGTACCACTGATCATAGCCCCACGGAACGTGTGGCTGAGGCGGGCTACCACTGATCATAGCCCCACGGAACGTGTGGCTGAGGCGGTACCACTGATCATAGTCCCACGGAACGTGTGGCTGAGGCGGTACCACTGATCATAGTCCCACGGAACGTGTGGCTGAGGCGGTACCACTGATCATAGCCCCACGGAACGTGTGGCTGAGGCGGTACCACTGATCATAGCCCCACGGAACGTGTGGCTGAGGCGGAACCACTGATCATAGCCCCACGGAACGCGTGGCTGAGGCGGTACCACTGATCATAGTCCCACGGAACGTGTGGCTGAGGCGGTACCACTGATCATAGCCCCACGGAACGTGTGGCTGAGGCGGTACCACTGATCATAGCCTCACGGAACGTGTGGCTGAGACGGTACCACTGATCATAGCCCCACGGAACGTGTGGCTGAGGCGGTACCACTGATCATAGTCCCACGGAACGTGTGGCTGAGGCGGTACCTCTGATCATAGCCCCACGGAACGTGTGGCTGAGACGGTACCACTGATCATAGCCCCACGGAACGTGTGGCTGAGGCGGAACCACTGATCATAGTCCCACGGAACGTGTGGCTGAGGCGGAACCACTGATCATAGTCCCACGGAACGTGTGGCTGAGGCGGTACCACTGATCATAGCCCCACGGAACGTGTGGCTGAGGCGGTACCACTGATCATAGCCCCACGGAACGTGTGGCTGAGGTGGTACCACTGATCATAGCCCCACGGAACGTGTGGCTGAGGCGGTACCACTGATCATAGCCCCACGGAACGTGTGGCTGATGCGGTACCACTGATCATAGCCCCACGGAACGTGTGGCTGAGGCGGTACCACTGATCATAGCCCCACGGAACGTGTGGCTGAAAGGAAGGCCATCTTCCCCGATGTCCTCAGTACTGGTAGCTGAGAGCTTAAGAGGTCATATTCCCGGTCACACTCCCTGCAGCAGACAACACAGCCGAGGCTGACGTTAAGCATGTTCTCCTCCAGTTGGAAAGACTTCTGGAGGCTGCAACAATTTGTGTTTCTTTACGTGCCCCATACCCCTGTGTTGTTACTGCTGTGGAGGGCCTTACGTGCCCCATACCCCTGTGTTGTTACTGCTGTGGAGGGCCTTACGTGCCCCATACCCCTGTGTTGTTACTGCTGTGGAGGGCCTTACGTGCCCCATACCCCTGTACTGCTGAGGAGGGCCTTACGTGCCCCATACCCCTGTGTTGTTACTGCTGTGGAGGGCCTGGTGCTTGCGACATTGTTAGTGTTCTTGTAGTTTACAGGTTTCCTTCTCCTGAACACAGAATATCTTAAGAACAGGTTCTAATACTGTTCTGGATCCTGCAGAACAAATTCGTTTTCAAAGAAAGCAGGAGAGAGCTTTGTTTCCACTTTTCGTGCATGCAAGTCCCATATATCCAATCCGTAAGTCTCATATGTCCAGTTTTTAAGTCTTAAATGTCTAGTCTTTGCTCGTCTCTTGCAGAACATGGAGTTGAAAGGACAAATGGTGGTGTGTCCTGAGAGCGACTCCCTCCTGTTCGTCGGGTCGCCCCTTATTGACGGGTTGACAGCGCTCACCTCCCGCGGGCTCTACCTCTCAGATATCCCCATCCATGACGCCACCAGGGACGTCATCTTGGTGGGGGAGCAGTCAAGGGCCCAGGTGAGTGGTAGGGTGGATATATAGAGGTGTTTCTTAGGATGGTGTGTGTGTGTGTGTGTATGTGTACTGTGTGTATGTGTGCTGTGTGTGGTGTCGTGCATGTGTGTGTGTGTGTGTGTGTGTGTGTGTGTGTTGTGTGTGTGTGTGTGTGTGTGTGTGTGTGTGTGTGTGTGTGTGTGTGTGTGTGTGTGCGTGTGTGTGTGTGTGTGTGTGTGTGTGTGTGTACTCCCTAATTGTACTCACCTAATTGTGCTTGCGGGGGTTGAGCTTTGGCTCTTTGGTCCCGCCTCTCAACTGTCAATCAACTGGTGTACAGATTCCTGAGCCTACTGGGCTCTATCATATCTACATTTGAAACTGTGTATGGAGTCAGCCTCCACCACATCACTTCCTAGTGCATTCCATTTATTAACTACTCTGACACTGAAAAAATTCTTTCCAACGTCTCTGTGGCTCATCTGGGTACTAAGTTTCCACCTGTGTCCCCTCGTTCGTGTTCCACCCGTGCTGAAGAGTTTGTCCTTGTCCACCCTGTCAATTCCCCTGAGAATTTTGTAGGTGGTTATCATGTCTCCTCTTACTCTTCTGTTTTCTAGGGATGTGAGGTTCAGTTCCTTTAGCCTTTCTTCGTAGCTCAATCCTCTTAGTTCCGGGACGAGCCTGGTGGCATACCGCTGAATCTTCTCTAACTTTGTCTTGTGTTTAACTAGGTATGAACTCCAGGCTGGAGCTGCATACTCCAGGATTAGTCTTACATAAGTGGTATACAGGGTTCTGAAAGATTCCTTACACAAGTTTCTGAAGGCAGTTCATATGTTGGCCAGTCTAGCATATGCTGCTGATGATATTCTTTTGATGTGGGCCTCTGGGGACAGGTTTGGTGTGATATCAACCCCCAGATCCTTCTCTCTATTTGACTCTTGCAGGATTTCCCCTCCCAGATGATACCTTGTGTTCAGCCTCCTGCTCTCTACGCCTAATTTCATCACCTTACACTTTCCCGAGTTGAACTTTAGCAGCCATTTTCTAGACCATTCCTCCAGTTTATCCAGGTCATCCTGTAGTCTCTGTCTATCTTCATCCGTCTTGATTATTCTCATAATTTTTGCATCATCAGCAAACATCGAGAAGAATGAGTCTATACCTCTGGAAGATCATTCACATATATTAGAAACAGGATGGGTCCAAGTACTGAGCCCTGTGGGACTCCGCTGGTGACATCTCGCCACTCTGATGTCTCCCCCCCTCACCGTTACTCGCTGTTTCCTGTTGCTTAAGTACTCCCTTATCCACTGGAGCACCTTCCCTGTGTGTGTTTGTGTAGTGTGTGTGCGGTACCGTGTGGCCTGTTGGTGTGTGTGTGTGTGTGTGTTCTGTGTGTGCCTTATGTGTGTGTGTGTGTGTGTGTGTGTGTGTGTGTGTGTGTGTGTGTGTGTGTGTGTGTGTGTGTGTGTGTGTGTGTGTGTGTGTGTGTGTGTGTGTGTGTGTGTGTACTCACCTATTTGTGCTTGCAGGATCGAGCATTGGCTCTTGGATCCCGCCTTTCCAGCCATTGGTTGTTTACAGCAATGACTCCTGTCCCATTTCACTATCATACCTAGTTTTAAAAGTATGAATAGAGTTTGCTTCCACAACCTGTTCCCCAAGTGCAATCCATTTTTCCACTACTCTCACACTAAAAGAAAACTTCCTAACATCTCTGTGACTCATCTGAGTTTCCAGTTTCCACCCATGTCCCCTCGTTCTGTTATTATTACGTGTGAACATTTTATCTATTTCCACTTTGTCAATTCCCCTGAGTATTTTATATGTCCCTATCATATCTCCTCTCTCCCTTCTTCTCTCTAGTGTCGTAAGGTTCAGTTCCTTCAGACGCTCTTCATATCCCATCCCTCGTAACTCTGGGACAAGCCTCGTCGCAAACCTCTGAACCTTCTCCAGTTTCTTTATGTGTTTCTTCGGGTGGGGGCTCCATGATGGCACGGCATACTCTAAGACGGGTCTCACGTAGGCAGTGTAAAGCGCCCTAAAAGCCTCCTCATTTAGGTTTCTGAATGAAGTTCTAATTTTCGCCAGTGTAGAGTACGCTGCTGTCGTTATCCTATTTATATGTGCCTCAGGAGATAGATTAGGTGTCACATCCTCCCCCAGGTCTCTTTCTTGAATCGTTACAGGTAGGCTGTTCCCCTTCATTGTGTACTGTCCCTTTGGTCTCCTGTCACCTGATCCCATTACCATAACTTTACATTTACTGGTGTTAAACTCCAGTAGCCATTTCTCTGACCATCTCTGCAACCTGTTTAAGTCCTCTTGGAGGATCCTACAATCCTCGTCTGTCACAACTCTTCTCATTAACTTTTGCGTCATCCGCAAACATTGACATGTATGATTCCACTCCTGTAAACATATCATTAACGTAAATTACAAAGAGGATTGGTCCCAGCACCGATCCTTGTGGTACTCCACTTGTTACTGTTCGCCAGTCCGACTTCTCGCCCCTTACCGTAACTCTTTGGCTCCTTCCTGTTAGGTAGTTCCTTATCCATTCTAGGACCTTTCCCCCCACCCCCGCCTGCCTCTCGAGCTTGAACAGCAGTCTCATGTGCGGTACTGTATCAAAGGCTTTTTGGCAGTCCAGAAATATGCAGTCTGCCCAACCATCTCTGTCCTGTCTTATCCTCGTTATTTTATCATAGAATTCCAGAAGGTTTGTTAGGCACGATTTCCCTGTCCAGAACCCATGTTGATGTTTGTTCACAAACCTAATGTTCTCCAGGTGTGCAACCAGTCGCAGCCTAATTATTCTTTCCAGTATTTTACAGGGGATGCATGTCAGTGATACAGGTCTATAGTTAAGTGCCTCCTCCCTATCACCTTTCTTGAAGATCGGCACGACATTTGCCTTCTTCCAGTAACTGGGCAATTCTCCTGACATAAGTGACTCATTAAAGATCATTGCCAGAGGCACGCTGAGGGCCTGTGCTGCTTCTTTTAGTATCCACGGTGAGACTTTGTCTGGTCCAACTGCTTTAGTTGCATCTAGAGTTGTCAACTGTTTTATTACCTCCTCTGCTGTCACCTCTATATCTGATAGTCTTTCATCTAGGGTAACCCCTTCCAACAATGGGAGCTGCTCAGGCTCGGTAGTGAACACTCCATGGAAACTGGCATTCAGTGCCTCGCAGATTTCCTTGTCACTTTCAGTATATGCCCCCTCTGTCTTCCTTAGTCTTGTCACTTGGTCGTTCACCGACATTTTTCTTCTTATATGACTGTGTAGTAACTTAGGTTGTTTTTTCGCTTTGATTGCAATATCGTTCTCATAGTCCCTTTCCGATGTTCGTCTTATGTTAATGTAATCGTTCCTAGCTCTGTTGTATCTGCTTCTGTTGTCCTCTGTTCTTTGTCTTCTGTACTTCCTCCACTCCCGTCTGCTGGCCATTTTTGCTTCCTGACACTGTCTATTAAACCATGGGTTATTATATTCCTTCTTATTTTTTCCCTTTACCGTTGGTATAAATCTCTCTTCGGCCTCCTGGCATTTCTGTATGACTAGGTCCATCATATCTTGGACTGCTTTTCCTCTAATTTCTTCCTCCCACTGCACTTCACCCAGATAGTCCCTTATCCTCATATAGTCCCCTTTCCTGTAGTCAGCTCTCCTTTCCCAGATCTCTTGTCCCATGGTCATAAGTTTGAATTCCATCATGTAGTCAAAGACTAGGACACAATGGTCACTGGCCCCTAGAGGTATTTCATGCTCTAAATTCTCGATATCTTCTACGTTCTGGGTGAAAATCAGGTCTAATAGGCTCGGTGCATCTCCTCCTCTTTCCCTTGTGTCTTCCTTCACATGTTGTGTCAGGAAATTCCTGTCTATAACATCTACTAATTTTGCTCCCCACGTTTCGTCCCCTCCATGGGGATTCCTTGATTCCCAATTTATCTCTCCATGATTTAGGTCCCCCATGATCAGCAGCTTCGCTCTCATTCTGTGGGCTAGTGTTGCTGCCTTCTGCAGCTCATCTATACATGCTTTGTTGTTGTCATCATACTCCTGCCTGGGTCTTCTACTGTTTGGTGGGGGATTGTAGATTACCAGGATCACAATCTTCCTCCCATCTACTGTCAGAGTTCCATGTATGAAGCTTGTGCACTCATTGGTAACTCGATTTCCCAGGTCTTCAAACTTCCATTTCCGCTTTATTAGGAGTGCTACTCCCCCTCCCTGTCTCTGTGTCCTCTCTTTTCGTATCACCTGGTACCCTTGAGGAAAGATTGCATCTGAGATCATGTCATTAATTTTAGTTTCCACAATTGCAACTATGTCAGGATCTGCTTCACTCACTCTTTCTTTTACTCTTTCTTTCTTTGTGTGTGTGTGTGTGTGTGTGTGTGTGTGTGTGTGTGTGTGTGTGTGTCTGTGAGTGTGTGTACTCACCTAATTGTGCTTGCGGGGGTTGAGCTCTGGCTCTTTGGTCCCGCCTCTCAACTGTCAATCAACTGGTGTACAGATTCCTGAGCCTACTGGGCTCTATCATATCTACATTTGAAACTGTGTATGGAGTCAGCCTCCACCACATCACTTCCTAATGCATTCCATTTACTAACTACTCTGACACTGAAAAAGTTCTTTCTAACGTCTCTGTGGCTCATTTGGGTACTCAGCTTCCACCTGTGTCCCCTTGTTCGCGTCCCACCAGTGTTGAATAGTTCATCCTTGTTTACCCGGTCGATTCCCCTGAGGATTTTGTAGGTTGTGATCATGTCCCCCCTTACTCGTCTGTCTTCCAGTGTCGTAAGGTGCATTTCCCGCAGCCTTTCCTCATAACTCATGCCTCTTAGTTCTGGGACTAGTCTAGTAGCATACCTTTGGACTTTTTCCAGCTTCGTCTTGTGCTTGACAAGGTACGGGCTCCATGCTGGGGCCGCATACTCCAGGATTGGTCTTACATATGTGGTGTACAAGATTCTGAATGATTCCTTACACAGGTTCCTTACACAGCATTTACTCGGGTTGGAAC